GACGCCCGCAGGGCGTGGCGGTGGATGGCCACTAGTGCCGGGGACAGCGGGGCAGCAACAGGGCTAACCACAAGGGATTTGTCTATTGCTTTTTTAATTAACAAGGTTTTAGAAAACTAAGAAGGTCCTGACAGCCACCCTGCGGGACCTGCTGCCACCCCTGACGATCAGAGGGACAGTGACCGCTCCTCCCTCCTGCCCTTGGCAGAATCGACCTTCATCGTCTCAAACAGCAGCTTTACCAGCGCCATCCTTCCCCGGGCCATCGTGGCTTCGGAGAGCTGGATCACCTCCAGCGTGCGGTTGCGGCAGACCACCCTCAGCTCCTGCTGTGGGCGCTGAAGGTTTCTCCTCGGCTTTCGTAACCCGCTGCTCCACCTCCTGCACCAGCGTTTCCGTCTTCAGCTTCTTCTGACCAAAGAGCACGAGCAGTGGCTCCAGGAGGCACCACAAGCTCTCAGTGGAGCCCGCGTCATCCAGTTCGATGGCCCGCTTGAAGCACGTGAGCGTTTCCTGGCTTTTAAGCCACAGGCATTTGCCCCTGAAGAGCTGCAGTTCGGGTATGGTATCGCCCAGGTCAAACTCCATGGCTTTATCCTGGAGTGTCATCCGCCAGGAACAGTTGTTGCATGATGTCGCTGCTCATGTCATTGTCAAAAATAGTAAATAGAATGGGGGGCAGCACAAAATGGGGCTGTCAGGAGAAAAGAGAGACCAACGGCTGCCTCCGAGGATGACACTCCCCATCAGGCTCTGGGCAGAGGAGTAACAGAGTGTGGCTGACCTGCTCTCGGCACCGTGTCTGTAGTGTACAGGCGGGGCTGGAGTCCTGCTCCCACCCTTGTGTCTAATGTCTCCCACTGCTTGGCTCCGGGTGGCTCTTCACTCCCGTAAGCCCTCTGAATTCCCTCCCAGCTAAGGCTGACGTTAACCATAGCAATCCCTCTGTCCTCTGTTCCTGCTTTCCGCCCTGCTGCATCTCGCCATCTCCCTCCCACCTAACTGGAACCGAGCCCAACAGGAGGGAGAGGCAGCCCAGGGCCAGGCCCCTCAGTCTTTGTGGTCTAACTTTGGGCTGAGAGTTAATGAAAACCTGGGGACACTGCAGGGAGCTCCCCGGGATCTCAGGGGTATGATGTGCCCATCCTCACCTGGCCTATGTCCAGGTTTGTCCTCAGGCACGAACCACCTTGAGGACTCTTTCGAGGTGATTTTTAGCATGCATGAGCTTCCTTCTGTTAGGCACTGGGCTCTGTCCCATCTTGGCGTGTTCCAGATCTTGTAGACACGTCTTCGTGTGGGTCTGGAGACCAGAGGAAACTCATCAGCTTGGCTTGAGTGCCCAGTTGCAGGATGGATGATGAAATGATGCGAGTACAAACCACTAGCACGCATCAGGTCAGCTCCTTGGCCCTGCCAAACCACGCCGGAGAGCCAGGCCAGCTTGCCTGGCACCAGCACCTCAGTGTCCAAAGCATGACCCCATGGTTAGCAGTACCAGGAAAGGTGGTGCAAGCCCCTGAGATGCTGCTCACCCTGTTGACCTTGGCTGTAAATTTGGTTCCTGGTGATCATGGGGTCCTCGAAAGCAACTAGCCCATCCGCTCCCCCTTCCAGGCTCAGACATGCCCTAACATGTTCAGAGGTTGAACCACTTGGCCATAGGAGTGCGCCTGAAGAAGGGCTGAGAAATCAAAAGCCTTTTTCTTAACGTCATTTCAGCTTTCTCCAGTCAAACCTGGCAGCCAGACACACGCGGCACCCAGTGACCACCTGACCACCTCCACACTGCACTTTTCAGCCTCCTGCCTCTAGCTCAAAGGAATTTAAACATCTGTGAAGAGCAGTTGTAAGCATATATTAAATTACTCCACTAGAGGAGGAGATTTCACTTCACTGAGCCTCATTTTATGAGGAGTTAAATAATCCTGCTTAAATATAAGGAAGTGAGAATGAGTCCTTATTTTATTTAAAAATGGGATTTGAAGAAATCTTCGTGATTCTTCTATAATGGGAAATACTCACTAATGCGCACTCCTGTTACAGGGGTCTGGAAATGGGCAAAATCAAGGGATTAAAGAGCACATTTTTGATGCCCCTGAGTGATTTAGGAGCATTAAAGTCATTAAATAGTCGAGCCAGTTCTGCGAGGTGACTCAGTATCCTGTGAAACGTTGTCCAGAGGGACGTGGGGAAGTCCCTCAGCAGCTCAGTGCCAGAGCCAGGATCTGGCCCAGATTTCCTGGCTGCCAGGTACCAACTTCATTCCCAGGCCAGCCTTCACTGGTTTTGTCAGGCAATTGCTTCTCCTTACGTGTTTCTCACCACAATTAAACGAGCAATGCAAACGCTGTCTGGGAGAAGCGCCGTGGCTGTCTTGGAGGCTGGAGGAGCAGGACAGGTCCCTGCAGGAAGGGGACCTGCCCACCCCTTGGACACCCAGCACGCTGTGCTGGCCCCAGCGAGGACTCACCTGCACCCGGGCGCAGTAAACCTGCCAGTTGAGCTGCGGGTCCCACAGGACATCCAGTGCGGTGTTGCATATCCCTTTGGCCATCTCCTGCTTGCCCAGGAAGTGGAAGATTTTCACCGGGAAGGGAGGGTTGTCTTTCACCATTTCTATCGCCTGTTTGAGCCACAGAAGTGAAACACATTTCTGTCAGTGACTTATTGCCTGCTGTGCTGATCAAAGGGACAAAACCATCTTGGACTGATTCGCCGAGGCGGTGTTTTAACCAGGAGGGTTTAAGGTTGTACAAAAGACGCGGTCTGCGGGTAAAGCTGATACCTCTTACTAAATCAGCAGACAGGACTGAATGCGGGGCTACGCTCGGGGGTTATGTGCCTGAAAGCATGTCTGTGCTCCTTATTTTTTCCAGCTGTGCTGGGGGAATTTAATAAAGGTACTGCTGTCCCTGCAGCCTTTCACCAAACTGCTCGCCTGCTGCTTTGCCAGGGCTGATTTATGCCATTGGGGCCAAACAGGCGGCCTGGGAGTGGTGCGCTCTGTACATGGCAGGACCGAGGGTCTCGGCTCCCATCTGGGGCCTCCCCTCTGTGCCCTGGGGGATTTCTAGGAGGAAAAATGCTGAGGATGGGGGGAAGATGAATGAAGGACCAAGCAGGCAATGGCAGCTGCCTCGAATCGGTCCCCGGCGCAGCAGCGCTGGGTATAGCACCTTGCCAAAGCAATCAAGGGGGTCAGTCTCAGAGAAGCCACAGTCCTGGATCCCCGTTGGGGAGGTGGAAAACGTTTCTTTCCTTTCCAGCAGCATCCCCAGATAGCACCAGGCCAGGGCTAGGGAAGAGAAGTCAGGGCAGGTGAAAGGCCAAGTCATTCAGCAGCCGAACCTCTCTCCATCCTGCGCAGGATTTGCAGTTTGGGCTTGGGGTCTCGGCACAGAGAGGCGGCACATCCCGACTGACCCTGGACATGCTCTTACACAGCTTGCAGGGTCCGTGAGCCCACAGCGCTGGCTCACACGCCTGGCTGACTAACTTTCCCGAGTACTTTCATTCCCTCCAGTGAAGTTACTGTAACTGCACACAACTGCAGGACAATGTTTTTATGCCCAGTGAAGCGGTAGTTGCAGGGCTTGTCTTAGATTCGCCCCTTGGGAAGTTACTGGGGGATATAAAATTACCGGACGTCCCCTGCACCTTGGCAGCTACCCAAGGTGCAGGTGCTCCCGGGTAACCCTAGGGTGCTTTCAGACAGCTCCTCCTGAGCAAACAACGCTTTTGAAAATAAACAACACTGATAAAAATACCGTAATTAAATCAATCAGAAGAATGTATATCATCACCTGAGGTTCAGGGCTACCTTGGATGTAGGTACACACAGCATCCATCAGTGCTGGATGCATTACACCACGAGTTACGCGTGCGTAAGGACCAGAGGTGGGTTTTACACAGATGGGTTTGGGGTCCCCCGCCTGCTGAAATAATCAATTTCTCCTACCTCTGTAGTGAGCATTGGAGGACTTGGTGACTTCTCAGAGCAGCGCCAGGATCCCGTCAGAGGCGGGCAGCCTCTTCTGCTCCTCGGTGCCCTGGCTCAGCAGGATCTCATCCAGCCTGCAATGGGAGTGGGTGGCACAGCTGGGACTGGGCAGCAAACCCCGCTTTCTGCACCAAACAGCAGCCCAGCGCCAGGGAACCGGCTTCCCCAGGCCTGGCTTGCTCTTGTCCAAAACGCCACGGGCATTAAGGGGGCTGGTGAGCCTCCCTTGCGAAGATGATGGATGCGGGTCGCCTTGCCCAGACCCGCCAGTGCTCACAGATGCAGCAAATACAGCGCCACAGAGGACACGAGCACCAAGAGCATCTTTTTATTGCCCCAAATGGATTGGCAGGTTGGGTTGTTGCTTTAAGAATGTATTTTTTAGCAGCTTAGAGATAATTTGTCCCTCTGAAAGCCTGGTAAACGGTTGGATCAAGCCCCGAATATGTTGCTTTAGGCAGGCTAGGAGCCTCCGTTACAACCAGGATCCCTGCCTCGGCCCTGCTGCCTGCCAGCCCTGTCTGCTCCTGGAAGGGGACATTCCCCGGGGAACTGGGATGCTGGGTGCCACGGTGATGGCTGCCATGGCAAGGACTGCCACCATCCCCACAGCCCTCGGGGACCAGAGCTGCCAGCATGGGGCTGCAGGCGCTCCCTGGGAGCATGGGCAGCCAGGTGAGGCCACCGGCCGGGCTCGCCTAAAAAAGCCCTTACCAGCGTAGCTCTTCTCACCTCCCAGATTGTCTGTGCTGGCTGGCAAGCAGCTTCTTGCACAGGGACTTTTTGCACATGACGGTCCGGGACACCCAGCTCAGGTTGGGAGCACCCCAGGGTGGAAGTGTGGGACGTGGGCTGCCTACGCCGTAGCTCGCTGGCACCTTTCCAGTGCTCAGCAAACACAGAGCACAGAGGAGTGGGATGTGGAGCAGCAGATCCCCATGTCCATCTCTCCTAATCGCCCCTCTTCACCCGGCTGCGGAGCTGCAGCTGGGTGGGCATGGGCTCGGCCTCGTGCTCCAGTCCCGGCGCTGCTGATGGTATTGCTCCGGCTCTGCGTTGCAGGGGAAAGCATCAGCCTCTGGCTGGGCCAGGGCAGAGAAGGGCTCCCGGCTTAATCAGCTGCCCCATTTCCAGTTCAAGGAGATAATGAAGAGGCACAAACGCCAGGTAAGAGCTGGGTTTCATCCGCCCTCCGTGCACATTTGCTGGGGGCGATGGTGCAGGCAGCGCTGCTCAGCCCTGTCTTCTCTCCTCTCGCAACAGGAAAGGCTGGGCCCGGGAACGTACAACATCAG